AAGCTGGGTATATAACCATATCACTCACAACAATGCTTCCTATATCAGTTAACAAAGGAAATCACATGAAATCAGGACCATGTAGTAAGCAAGATGATCCCATAATCAAATTAACATTGCAGAGAACAAATTCAATTAATTAAGAGTGAAAGAGAATGAGGGCAATCTACATGACTTGTTGAACGGAATGCAGAAAAAAATCCAAACAAGGGAAGCATTTTTCAGCGCTGCAAAAGATGCCCACGAAAGACACTCGCCAGACTTACTTTTACCTGTTTGTACAGTGTGCAAGTTTTATGCCAACACAGCATGCAGTCAGGAGGGGAAGTAATTTATTTCATGGAGTGCATAATGTTGCTTGACTTGTAAATGTCCAGGTTTTTTTAATGACTAGAGAGAAACAAAGAAAAATGGTTGGCAATACTTAAGAGAGCACCTTCTTTAGGAAGCAGGAATATTGAGCCAATTTTTATTAGATGAATTTCCTTCTGTGGTTTTATTTATTACATCACACACAAAAATCTTTAGAGCATACAATTGCCACTCTCTTTAAGTTGTTATAGTTTTTAATGAATGGCCTAATAAATTAGTGGTTGTTTGATGTATATATGTTGGGTGTCAGAACTTAGCGGGAAACTGCCCAGGTTTTTACTGAATGGCCATATTTCCTTCTGGCTCAATGTTTCTCAATGGATCAGCAGCTAATACAGCATTTTTGCTACAATTAAATTAAATTAAAGTGCTCAAGATTTGTTTATTCCTGCTGTCAGGTTTTTTTTAAACTGAGCAATACCTTAAAAGACTATTTTAATATAGTTAATGCACTCCATATATGAATGAGAATTTGTGTCTTAAGTAATGTGCCCATGCTGACTCTTAAATGAGTTTTATATGTAACTTTTTTGAGAAAACCATATAAAAATGGATTGGAGAAAAAGAGGGATTTCTTGTTTGTTTGTTTGTTTGTTTGTTTGTTTGTTTCCAGTGGTTTACAATACACATCCCAAACTAAACATGGTCTAAGAGAAAAGAACAGTACTTTTAAATGGTAGGGCCATATTTCAACTAACAGCATCACATGAAATACTGCCTATGCAACTCCCTTCACAAGATTTTTAAGGGAATAAGAGAATGGACCTTGGGTAGTAGGAAGCAGTATATCAGTTTAATAAACCTAAACCAATCCTGGGGCTCAGGTAGAGCCGCTCCACTATACAGCTGCAAATAAAATGTTTTGAATGTGTTGTAAAGTGCAATATACAATTGTGACACCAGAGGGCAACGGTGAGCTATAGCAAATTCAAGGCATTTTTCAAAACGGGTTTTCTTTTTTTAAAGCATTTTCACAATGTTTTTAACACCCACTTACCTTTTAAAGCCCCCAGATTCTGCACTGGCTTGATGCCTTTTCTCCTCCATTTCCACATGTCACCAATGCTTTCTGCGACAGGCCCCACTTTCAAAACACCCCATGCCTTTGCTTTTCTTACCTGGCAGGTGGCAGTAACTGCAGCAGTGCACTAGGGAAGGAGAGAAGTAAGAAGTGAGTTATGTCCCTTCCCTGTCTCCTGTTTCATTGTCCTGATACACTTAATAGCAGCATGCAAGAGTTCAAGGTCCAATTGTACCATGGACACTGTAATTCTTTGAAGGGCTCCTGCAAAGATATGGGTGAGGTAAGGCAGGGCAGCAGTGAGGTCCTGGCTGCACGGGAAGGCTGGCAGGAACACCATGATGGATGCCCCTGCAGCTGGAACATCGCCATCACCCTGACCCACCCCAGTCCTTTCCAGGTAAGCTGCGGGGCTGGTAGTGTCAGGAGGGCAGCTCCATCCTACCATGCATGTCTCTACTGCAATATGCATTCCTGTACCAAGATCTTATGGATACTACTTTTTTTAAAGTTAACTTTTGCAAATGCATTAAGGAGGCATGGAACACACCCACCTGAATAGGAGCTCAGTCGAAAGGGAAAATTCATATGAATAGAATGTTGTCGTACGGGTACCAAGGCAAACAGTTCAGGTAAAATAATGTCATAAAGAACAAAGGAACATGAGATGAGTGGGTTGGCTCAGGCCAATGGCCCATCTAGTCCAGTCTCCTGTTCTCCTAGGGTCCAACAAGGTGCCCGTGTGAAACCTGCAAGCAGAACCTGAACATAAGAGCACTCTCCCACCCTGGGATTTCCAGCAACTGGTGTTCAGACATATACAGCCTCTGACTGTGGAGAAGGAGCATAGCCTATAGTCATTGGTAGCCTTATTCTCCATGAATTTGCCTAATCTGCTTTTAAAGCTATCCAAGTTGCCGTCTCCTTATATAGTTCTCTTTAGAAATGACAGAATGAATGTTAAACAACAATACCACTTGCCCGTTGCGCTATATATACAGGTTTTTGTATACCTATGCAATGATGGTGGCATGATGGATTCAAGGTGATAAGCCCTTGAGAGAACTATAACAGGATTATTCTGGAGAGAGGCAGTAAAGTAAATAAGATTATCTGTAATAAGCTTATCCACTGATGAGTTCACACTGTGCTGAGAGAAAAAGTCCAGCCACCTTTGTAAGATAATAACAGGAAAAGATGAGCATCCCATGGCAGGTAGAGTATTTGAATAAGGTATTCTTGTGTGATGGACAAAACATCATGTTTTAGCTTCATTCATTACAATTTCTGAAGTAGTCACAGTGCATAGCACAAAGCAAGCCAAAATATAGACCTTAAAAAATAGTGGAAGTTCCACTGAAAAAAGAAAGCCCGAATTTAATCTGTGTAACCGGTGTAATTATCTTAATCCTGAATTTCCTGGGACACTTGCAAGAAAATGTTGCAGTGTGGAGCCACCGTGTTCCTCCTCAAGTCAGCTCACTTCCTCTGGGGTATTGTATTCCCAATCCTCACTCTATTTTCTAATTTCTCTGCCACCCCCAAAACTGTCAATCAGCATTTCATTGCTGAGGTGCAGTCCATGTCTTGCCAGAAGTCCCACCTCAAGGAAGCGGAGACCATGATCTAATAATCCAAATTCTTCCTGACGACACCACCTGCACAGTCAGTGATTTACCTCAAGTATTTTCCTCTCTCTTCTTGGGCCACAACCTTCAACAGGAAGGAGTGATGAAAAGACTACCTGTGCCCCAAGTCTCTTCAGCTCCCTGCCCAGTGTCTCACAGTCCCTAGCTATGTGTTGCAGACTATGCAGGATATTTCTGAATACCAGTTGGTGGAAGCCACAGGAGGGGAGAGTGGTATTGTGCTTGGGTCCTGCTAGCCAGTTTCCCATGGGCATCAGGTTGGCCACTGTGAGAACAGGGTGCTGATGTGAAACAGTTCACATACTGGCTGAAATTCAAAAACAACAACTCAGCTCTCAATGGGATGTCAACCTGAACAAATAATTCCCCATGCAACCATGTACAGGGCACCAATAAGGACTGCTACAAACTGCAGGACTACTATGCCTCCTCATAACCGCATCACAAAAAGACACTAGTGCATCTACAAATGTTCCATAAACCAGTAACCTGGCATGGTTCCACAGGTGGAAAATCACGTCACCATGCAGGAGGAGAATAATGCATTGTGCACCATCACTTCAGCAGAAGAAAAGATGCCAAGCACATTAGCAGTACATGCAGGTCGGAAAGATGAAATACTGCTTTCAGTGGGACTTGGACATTTCATTCAATGATGCAGCTGCTGAGAGCCAAAGAGCACAGTAACAATGATACAACACAGTTTAAAACTTCTAATAAATTAGATTTACCTTGGCTCCACTGGAAAAATAGTATATTCAGCAGTTTCAACTATGGCAGACTCTTCTAATTAAATTAAGTGTCTTACTGCTTGAGCCAGCAGCAACACTTCAGAAGGCTGAGGCAGTGAAGGTTTCAAGCATTGCTAACTTGGCTCACATCCCAAAAGAGACCATAATACAGATTGCACAGAAAAACTGTATAGAGCTGTAATAAACCAGGTTTTGAAACTAGGCTTGAGGCATATTATCAAGATTCTATGCCCTTCTATCTCAAGCAGCCGGAACAGTTTACATTATAGTTGCTCACTTGCTTTCTCAGCACAGCACCAAGGTGGTATAGTCATTGCTTTGATTTGGTTAGTGGGGAACCCAGACTCTCTTTTTACAAAGTGCAATTTGACCCAGTTTTCTAGGTTTTGTCTGCATTCTGGACCTATCACCTAGTGCATCTTTGGACCTAGATTCCCAGCTTTCAATTTAAAAATAAGTAAGTCTCTACCTGTAGTGGAATCAGATATATGAGACAAAATGTGCTGGAAGTGTCCTGACCAACAGCTTCTTAATAAGTGAGCTTGCTCCCACCTTCCATTGTTAAAGTCACAGCTAGGGCCACCCATTCTCCAATGAGCCTAGGATGGTGTACATGAGGCCTTAGAGCATGCAGTGAGCTTCTTCAATGAGTGGAGATTTGGACTCTACATTCCTTTCTCCAACTCTAACCACTGAGCACACTCCCTTTTCCTATTCATGAAGTCCACTGTTTAGCAGTATGCTCACTGGTTGTCACCAGCTGAGGCTGAGGTTCAGGTGAAAAGGTATTACTGAACCAGTAAGTAGTTACCACAAGTACCGTCAGATGTGTCCTTGTCATGCACAGCACAGCTTCAAGGTATTGCTCTTAGTGGACTGTAGATGTCATGATGGAATGTAGGGCAGGGAGTCATTTTGAACTTATTATGGCTGCAGACATGTTCATCAAGAAGCAAACGCTATTCTCCTGATATTTTATTCCAGCTTTAGTAACACATCAGAGACCTGCTGACTGAGAACAAAAGAGCCGAGATAGTGTCTAGGGGGACTGCAGGATCTGAGAAATGATCGGGCAGATAGGATGTGCTGAACTATAGAAAGATTTAAATGTCAGCACTCAGGAGTATATAGGCTTGAGCATAGCCCTGAAGAGAGGAGGGGGAAAGCAAGCTGGTAAAAAGAGCATAAGCAGTTAACAATAGCCCCCTTTAAGAAATGGTGTGTGAGCGACTGTGTTATTTAGCATACCAGAATAATGAGCAGTCAATAGGGAGAGCACACCACAAATGTCAAATATCAATCTTTATTAGTGTTGTGGCCAGGCTGCCAGAAGATTAGGTTAAGATTCTAGCTAATGCCACAATCAGAAGGTAATGAAGAATTAAGCACAATGCTTGCACCCATTTGCTCACATAGTAGGAGTTTCTGCTTGCAATGCAGCCTTCTTCACTCACACAAAAACCTGCACAGGGGAGGAAAGGCAGATTCAATTATCTTTCTTCTGCCTGTGAATACACTGTGCATTGGGGAAGCTGGCCTATACATTTCACAGTGAGCATTAGCTACATCCCCTCTATCAGAATTCCTGTTATTCAATGCATTATAGATGGGAATGAAAGTATCTATTCACGCCTAGCATTTGATGTGAAGAGAATGCCTTTCCTGTAACTTTCTGGTGGGCATGCAAGATTTTGCAGCCCGTGACTATGACAGCCTCTGGATTTTACATGCTATTCACAGCTGACACACATGGCTATATTTTAAACACAAACAGAAATGGGATCCCAAGGAAAAGGGATTTTCAGTTTATCTTCATACAGCCTTCCTGTCCTGGTTTTATGGCCAGGCTGTTTTATTTTGAATGTACATTTTAAAAAGATTTTCCAGTTCCTAAGGAAGTAACAATTTTTCAGCTTCTATATTGAAAATTCCCATTACTTGAAGGATGCAATTCTCCTTCAGAAGTGAGATGGATAGATAGAACGCATTTTCCAGGAAGGCACACTAGACCAAGCCCAACTTAAACAGCTTTTCTGGATCCCTGGTAAATAAGTTTGAATGCAGTGCATACACCATTTGTGTAATCTGTTGTGAACTGTATGTACCAGGGCCTCGGGCTCTGAGCAGGGTGAGGTGAAAGAACCAGCGTGGAAGCGTGGCATGGGGATAGGACTGCTTCTGGGAGTTGGCACTTTGGTGACCCACTACATAGAGGTGATGCCAGAGGCCTCTGCAGAGTCCTGGGCAGATTATAGCCTCTGATGTTTAATTAAAAGTGGGCTTTGAGCACTGTGAGGGATTGGTGCTCAGTTCCTGAGAACCATTTCATCCAGTAAAAGTTAGATCAATGTTGTAGCTATTCTAAATTGCAAATGTTGTTCGACATCCCAAATGACTCAAGCGTTGGTGAAAGCCTAAGTTGAACTCACAATACTCTCTGGAGCTGTAGAAGGTGTGTCAGTAATCTCAGAGATGGATTTTTAGGGTTTTTGTGTGTGTGTGTCTGATTTTTCCCGGTCTCATTTGGTATTCATCACTTTAAATGCCATTTTGCTTAATAGATTGAGACATTTAATCCATCTCAGGAGGCTCACTGAAGCTTTTTACCAATATGAAAAAAAGATTTTCTTTACATCACACGCAAAGTGATTCCTCCCCTCTCCCCAACTATTTCGAGCTGATGAATGGATAATTCCGCTGGATAATATGCCAACTAAAAATAGCACTTCCCGTCATTCTGAGGGCATTGCAAAATGGACCTTTGAAGACTCTGCACCACTGTGTTTAAGATTTAAGACTTGTTCTTATTTCTCATGATGGTTTGAAATGGTTATGTGATAGTGACAAAAAGAAAACATTCCTGAAGTTAGCAACTTGACAGCCTCTTTGTGCAGTAATTATATTTTGTATCTTCCCTATTTCAGCCCCTCAGTTGGCTCTATACATTTTTATCACTTAGGGAAATGGAAGCTTTGGGGAATTGAGAGGAAACCTGTTGCTAAAAAAAAATCAGCTTGCCTTCTCAGTTGGTGGTTTGGAACCACGTTATTTTACACAGCAGCACTGAAACCCCCTGGTTGTATCCTTAGAGCTGCAACTCTTTCCCAGTTTTTCTTTCAGGCATTTGTTCCTAGGAAGCCCTAGTAGAAAAAAGGGAAGGGGTGTGTGTGTGTGTGTGTGTGTAGAACAAAGGAAACAGAGAGAAGAGAGACGAGACAAAAGCTGTAAGATATGAATAAACAAATAACTTGCTTGTGTTCAAATATTGCCTACAGGGTATTCCTTATCAGCAACAAGATACAGAACCTCTAGATAGATTTATGGTCCTAGGAAATGGAAGGCTTTTTCATATACTTGTGGAAATGAAGCACACAGCCAGATCAATCCCAGCATGCAGGAGACAAATGAAGCACACTGGTGTGCAATGTCCCATTCCCTGCCATTACAAGACCAATGATCGAGGCACGGAGCTCACTCACACAGGGCTGGCTGATTCAAGACTTTCTGCTATTACACTAGGCACAGCAGCCTAGGCTAGAAGGCTTAATGCCACTTGCTAATCTCACTCAGAGCTATTTGCTAACTTGGAAACAAGGAAATGAAATGGTCATTTCTTGTCCTGCAATATGGAGGAATCTACAGTGCGAACCTCAACCTTCCTTCCCTTCTCCCTGAAACTGCAGTTAATGGGGCTGCACTCAAGAAACCCAACAGATTTCAATATTATTAGGGTGATGACAATTCTCTGAATGCCTTCCTTAATAACTTGATGTTCCCAAGGATCATGGGATGGGGGGTGGGGAGAAAGATAAGATAGCTAACATATTTTATAGGAATATGATCATATTACAGTATACTTCTTATTATAAAATGATGCTCACTTCATTTTATTTGGGACATTTTAAAAAACAGTTCAGAAAAGCCACTGTGAGCTAATTTCAGAATTTCACATCCATAGTTTAATTTCTATATTCATTTTAAATTTCATCCGACAGTGCTATAAATAGCATGTCGTTTACAATATTTTAGGTTCAAATCTAAAATAGTCACAAATATGATGTCAGGCCTCATGGGCATAGCAGCTGCCCCCCCCCCCAATTCAATAAAAATACATAGCTAACTGAAGTTCTGCCCCCACCCAACAAAAGGCCTTCCTGTTAGGATATTTCCGTTCCACCTTAAAAGGGAGCAGGCTTTGTGAGTCAGAGTCTGCGTATTTCCTGTTCACAGGATGTTTATGTTTTCTGTTGCTTTCGTTTTCTCTCTGTGTCGCAGACACTAAATCAGCAGGCAGTCATGTTTTTCTGTGTTCTGATCAACGCTGAATAAACTTGTAAATAATGCTCTCCTGACTGCAACTTTTGGCTGTGCATTATCTGCTGATAGAGTGTGCATGAGCTCTGGAATGTGGCAAGATATTTTCTAGAAACTCATGTCGCTGCGTGCCTACGGGAGGTCGATGGATCGTCCGGCAGACGGCTTAGGGGCCTTGATGGACTTTATCTCCCTGGCAGTATCCCAACAATAGGTTTCGGGCCCAGATTCACAGCACTTACAGGAGAGTAAGACTGCGACAGACTGCTGAAAGGTATGTGGAAGAAAAGCGAAAGTGAGGCTTTTCGTTGCCGCGGCAAAGTCCCTTTGATGTCCGGCAGGCCTAATTGGATCTGGGAGCCGCGCCAAAGGCCTCAAGATTTATGGCTGCCGAGATAAGGAGTCTCTGAAGTGAATAAGACTCAGGCTCAAATAAAAACCTGGAATGGAGTTTTTCCAGGCTTCTGAGGCTGCTGAGTGCCCAAAGTTAAATCGGCACAACTACCAGACCTGGGCAAAATGGTGTGAGAGTTTGCTGCGTCAGTTTGGAGTGTGGCATACTGTGTGTGAGGCCCCTCCAGTTCCTCTGACAGATAGATGGAGGGCCGAAAATTCGAAGGCGATAGACATACTAGTCTTGTCCGTCTCTCTGGAGGAAATTAAGATGCTTGCTGGCAATCTGACTGCACGAAAGATGTGGCATGCTTTGAAAGTAGCCCATCTGCCAATCATCCCAGCCCAGAGTTTGACTGCATCGGAGGTCCTGGCTGTTTCCCAGAATGCGAGTGAATGCAGGGATGCCGAGGGCACCGGTTGCAAGCTGCAGGGGGAGCTGACTGTCACGTCATCCCAGGCAGCATTCCAGCCTCCGGGGGAGCCAAGGAGTCGGCAGCTGAGAGCTCTGTTTCTCGTGGGAGCCAAGGTCATCGCCTTTGCAGAGGCCGGAAGGGCAAAGGTAAACAGAGGCAGACGCCTGCAGATGGCCAGAAGCAGAGGGAGGGTGAAGAGCCCACGCCAGAGAAAACAAGGTTTTGTTTACTGGCACAGCTTCACCAAAGGCTAAAAGCAAGTCTGATGGCCAGGAGCAGGGGGGCAAGCTGCAAAAGCCCACGCCGGTGGAAAACAAGGTTTTGCTTGCTGCAAAGACTGCTCCAAAGGTCACAGCCAGGTTTGTTGTTGATTCAGGCTGTACCCGCCATGTCTCAAAGGACCGCCACCTCTTTATCTCCTTCAAACCTCAAGAAGGTGAGATCCACCTGGCTGACGGAAAGACGGTGAGAATCGCAGGAGAAGGGACTGTGAAACTGGCAAGTCTGCACACTACCATTAAAGATGTACTATATGTTCCAGGTGCTGCAGACAATTTGCTCAGTGTCCCACAGCTGACTGGGCGTGGTTTTGAGATTTCCTTCAAGAGGAGCGTCTGTGTCATCAGAAAAGGCAAAGAGGACATTTTGCATGCAAAGTTTATGGATGGCTTGTTCTGTATAACTTATGACGACAGTGCTGCTGTTGTGTCTAATGCTGATTCTTGTTGTGTTGCACAAACTAACAAAGTTCTTCATGCAGGATGCATTCATGATGCACACAGAAGATTTTGTCACATGTCTTGGCAGGCGCTGGCCAAGATGCCAGAGATGGTTGAGGGTTTGAACATCAAACCCTGTAAGTTTCACATGAAATGTGTATCTTGTGCAGAGAACAAGGTGAAGGTTGCTCCAAAAGGCAAGGAGTCTAGCAGGCAGGCTTCCAAACCCTACCAGCTAGTGCACGCAGACCTGGTTGGTCCACTTGCGCCCTCTTTGGGTGGAGCAAGGTACTTCATGGTTCTAATTGATTCTTTTTCCAGGTACATTCATGTGTTTATGCTCGAGCAGAAATCGCAAGCGTTTCCTAAGTTCAAGGCATTCTGTGCTTGGTTGGAGAATGTTCACGGTAAACGCATTGGCTGTCTGTTTACTGATCGAGGCGGGAGTTCACTTCTCAGCAGTTTGAAGCTTTCCTGACTGAGAGGGAATCCAGCATGACTTGTCAACGCCTAGATCGCCATGGATGAATGGGCTTGCGGAGCGAGCAAATCAAACGTTGCTGCAAGGAATGAAAACATTGTTGCATGATGCCAATCTCCCTGATAAGTATTAGGGAGGCTCTGTCGAATTTTGCTTACACTTATAATCGCAGATTGTCATCACCTATTGGTTGTACCCCCTATGAGAAGATGTTTGGTAGAAACCCAACATCAAACACATGAGAATCTTTGGTTCTGACATGTGGGTACACACCCACAGAGCAACAAGCTTGGGAAGCGTGGGGCACATGGTTTGTTCAGGGGTTACGAAATAGGTGCATACAGGGTATGGATGACCAACTCTAAGTCCATTAAGTTCACAAAGAGTGTTGAGTACAATCCTAAGTGGGGAAAATGTAGGAATTTTCCAGAGTTACCCAGAGGAGGATGAAGGTGATGTCAAAGAAGCAGCTAAAGCTGAGGAAGCTGCTGAGGATGATGATGACGATGATGATCAGAGTTCGGATTCCAGTTCAGTGGGCGGCGCTGCTGCTGATGTCAGTGACAGTGATGACACAGCAGACTACAAGAGCGCAAAGGCCTCAGTCAGACCATCTGATGCGTCTGACAATGAACTGGAAGAACCACTGTTCACCATTGGTCACTTTTCTCCTAAGAAGGAGGAGATGAGTCCAGAAGACTTGCGTCTAGTACGCAGATCTGAGAGAGCCACGAAGGGCAGACCTCCAAAGAGATTTGCTGATGAGTTTGCTAAGACAGCAACTGCTGTTCTTAGTAGCTCAGAGAAGGTATGGGAACCTTCAAGCTTCAAAGAGGTTCAGGAGTTAACCTCTAAAGATGCTGAGCCTTGGCTTAATGCCATGAAGGCTGAAGTTGATTCCTTGAACAGGAACCAAACTTGGGAATTGGTACCGGTAGTCCCAGGAATGAGACTGGTTGGCAGCAAATGGGTCTTCAAGGCCAAGACAGACCAGAATGGCAAGGTAGTTAGACACAAAGCCAGATTGGTTGCCAGAGGTTTTCACAGGTACCAGGACAGGATTACCACGAGACCTACTCACCCACCGTCAAATATGAGAGCATTCGGCTGATGCTCAAGATAGCTGCAGAGGAGAAACTGCATGTTTCCCATCATGACATTAATACAGCTTTGTACGGGATTTTGGAGGAGGAGCTGTTTATGCTTCCACCTGACGGGATGCAGATACAGAAGGGAATGGTCTGTAAACTGCGGAAATCCTTATATGGTCTCAAGCAGAGTGCCAGGTGTTGGAACACGAAACTCACTGAGACGTTGCTTTCTCTAGGTTTTCACCAGGGCAAAGCTGATCCATGTGTGTTTGTCAAGGAGGAGGGGCAAAACAAACTGTATTGTTTATGTTTTGTTGATGATCTTCTGATGTTTTGGAAGAATCAGGCTTTCTACCAAAGCACCCTAGCTCAGCTGAAGGAGCACTTTGACATGAAGGATCTTGGTGAGGTATCCAACTATCTTTCTCTGCAGGTGGAGAGGGACCAAGCAGGTAATTTTCTGGTACACCAAACACAGAAAATTGCTGATGTATTAACCAGGTTGAATTTGGTTGATGCAAACCCAGCAGACACACCGATGGTGACAGGTTACCAGGTAGATAGTACTGCTGAAGCGTTTTCTGACACAACGCTGTACAGATGCATTCTAGGCAAGTTGAATTTCATTGCTAGATGCTCAAGACCTGACATTGCTGTAAGCACTAACCTGCTTAGCAGACATGCTAACAATCCTACTGTTCAGGATTGGAAAGCTCTGAAGCGCATAGCCCGCTATTTGAAAGGGACTATGCACTACAGGCTGAGGTTCACCAGTCAGAAGACTGGAGGTCTTGAAATCTTTGCAGATGCAAGTTTTGGAAGTGACACCACGGATGGTACAAGCACTTCTGGGGTATGCTACATGTACAACCACTGCCTGTTTGACTGGTTGTGCAAGAAGCAGACGACAGTGAGCCTAAGTTCCTGTGAAGCAGAACTCAATGCTCTGTCATTTTCACTCATGGATTGTGAATGGTTGATGCAACTGTTTAAGGACATCAGAGTTTCTGTGAAATGTCCTGTACAAGTGTATCAAGACAATAGATCGTGTTTGGCTTTGCTGAACTCAGAGAGTTGCAAGCAAAGGACCAAGTACTTGCAGATTAAGCTACATCGTGCAAGAGAGTGTATTCAGAAAGGACTCATTCAGGTGTCCTACATGCCAGGAAATGAAATTCCTGCTGATCTGTTGTCTAAGGTTGTTAACAGAGAACAACTTAAGGTTTATGTACAAAGGTTGCAATTGGGTTGAACCACAGGTACTACAGGTTACACGGAAGGGGGAGGATGTTAGGATATTTCCGTTCCACCTTAAAAGGGAGCAGGCTTTGTGAGTCAGAGTCTGCGTATTTCCTGTTCACAGGATGTTTATGTTTTCTGTTGCTTTCGTTTTCTCTCTGTGTCGCAGACACTAAATCAGCAGGCAGTCATGTTTTCTGTGTTCTGATCAACGCTGAATAAACTTGTAAATAATGCTCTCCTGACTGCAACTTTTGGCTGTGCATTATCTGCTGATAGAGCGTGCATGAGCTCTAGAATGTGGCAAGATATTTTCTAGAAACTCATGTCGCTGCGTGCCTACGGGAGGTCGATGGATCGTCCGGCAGACGGCTTAGGGGCCTTGATGGACTTTATCTCCCTGGCAGTATCCCAACACTTCCCCCCTCCCAACAAAAAGCCTGGCTACACCCATGTCATGCCTTAAAAGATCTTGATGCATGAATTTATTAAACTGGATTACTCAACTCAGTCTAATTTCTTGCTATTTTCTGGATTTTCCATTATCATGTCTGAATGACACATCTGTATTCCAAGTACAATTCTGGAAGTCTTCCCTGAGAAAGAGAGAGGGGACGGGTGACAAAACCTAAGGCATACAAAGGAGGCTCACAAGTCAGGATTATGGAACAACTATTTTCGAAGGAAAAAGAACCTGGTTTCCCTAGGACCTCAGTACTTTTAAAAATGCCATTTCCTGTGTGCTCCTCCACACACTCTGATAATCCTCTGAAGCCCTGCTCCAAAACCCTTGATCTTAGGAGGCAAAACTTGTGTCAGTTGAAGGTAGGGCCTTTTCTGCTGGGGCACCTACCTTATTACTATACTGATTCAGATATCTGACAAAGTGTGTTCTCCCTCATGGAGAGCACAGGTTGCGGGCGGGGCTGACGAGACACCTCACTGTTGCTAGGCAAATGGTTTGGCCATCCTTTAAGCAGGGGCAGGCTGTTACTGGGGAAATCTAGATGTTGCCGTTTGTTGATTGACAGCCCTATTTGTTAAATACAATGCTCGCAGCGACGAACTTCCTCTTTTCACTGCTTACTTCGGATCAGCCGCCCTCCCTTCCCTAATTTCAGGCTGTTTGCTTGACCTTGCTATGCCTGTCATGGGGTCATCTGCTTTGGGGCAGGGGCCCGGTAGGAATTTTGCCATTTGGCTGATTAGTGTGTGCCACTTGGTTTTCGCCTACCGCGTAGCAAATTGTCACAACTTGTAAGGTTTGCGGTTAGGCATTGGTCTAGAATTGCTGGGGGGTATGAATTCGGCTGTGCCTGCCCCCCAAAATGCTGCTGCTGGTGGAGGGGTATGGATTCGGCTGTGCCTGCCCCTCCAAAATGCTGCTGCTGCTGCTGAAGGGTTTTACCGTTAAAGGAACCCAGGGGCTCCCCATGCTTTTGTCCAAAACCCCTGGCAAGGGGCTAGGGCCACGCAAGCCCCTGGGAGCATGCTGGGGAGAGGTGAGGCATGGTTCCCAGTCCCGTCTCTCCCCCCAGGTGACTTACCCTTCCTGACTTCGCGGGGGGTGTGAATGTCAGAGCTGTCCCCGTGTGGGGGCAGTTAGTGCTACCAATGCCTAAGCAACCACTCACATTGCTGTATTTGAATAAATTTGTGGCCAGAATTATGCCAAAAACCTTAAACAAAATTAAGTGTCAATTGTGTTTTTCTTTGGGGGGGTGTCTTGGGGACCTCGACACGCAAACACTGACTTAAAAAAAAAAAGACTGTTGGTTGATTGTGGTGGAAAATTTGCTGACTCAGTTCTGTTATGCTTGTGCAGCTGAAATTTGTTAAATTGGTTGGATATTGTTAGCTTTTTGAGCTGAGCAAATATTAAACTTTTAAAGCATTGTTTTATTCTGTTTTTATTATTGTTCGTAGTAGTGGTGAGTGAGGCAGTGCAGGTGGGGCTGCATTGCTCTTCTGACATCATCACGTGTCACTGGCAGTTGTGAGTCAAGGCCCCACTCCTTGCTTTGTGATGAAATAAGACACATGGACACAAGCATTTTGGGTTAATGGGCTAAAAAAGGCCACAACTTTATTGATTGCAGAATGTGAGTGGTATTGGCTTAGGCACTGAATCCAAACAGATTATACTTGACTCCTGCCCACTCTGCAGGGAGTCACACAAGGGTTAACAACCTGTAGGGGGAGCTTGCTGATGCTAATCAACTGGAAGCTTTCCCCTAGAGTCACTGGGAACCAAGCCATGGCCCTTCCCACCACCTAGGCATCAGACAGGAACCATGACAGCCGGATTCCTTTAACAGAATACCCTTCAAGGGGAGGTATAGGTGTTGGCCACAACCTTCCCTCCAACACACAACACATTTTCCAATGTCTAACCGCCAAACCTTGAAAAGTTGTGATGATTTGCTATGAGGTAGGTGAAAAACCAAGTGGCTGGTGCCAATCTGCCAAGTGGAAAAAATTCCTACCAGGCCCCTTGGACAACCAAGGCGACCAACCGAAGTCCATAGCAAGGTCAGGAGCTGAAACAAAACCTAGAGGGCGAGCGGGCGGGTGCCAGTTACCAAGAAGAGGAGGAGCAAGGCAGCAGGGAGCTCAGCACAGTACAGTCACAGTGTTGGAAGCATTAAATTTGCTCCGCGTCTGAGCTCCATGCTGACATGACCCTCTTGCTCTCCAACTAAGTAAACAACAGTGATATGCAACATTGGAGAGCAATGCAGTTGCACCAGCTGCTAACAGCTGTTCATTAGCTGCCTTGAGTCTATTTGGAGACATTATCAAGACAGAAACAGTTAAATAAATCAAAATATTTTTAAAATATATATATAAGAGGAGGTACGGTAATTGTGCAGAGGTACCTGTAAAAGTGGTCCAATATGCCATAAATGTTGCGTATTACTTCTTCAGCAATGTATACAAAATCAAGGAACAGCTTAGAAGCAATGGACAGGAAAACTGTATCTATTATTTGACGTTATCCTAGAATAACAAAGAAAGCACACAATGTAATGAATTTGCTGTAAATTACAACCAAACCAAACAAACTGCTTCTACTTTCACATATCCTTCTCTCACTCTGTGGATTTTCCCATCTTAATTGCAGTATGGCTAGGTACTAGTTAAACTTGTAACATGTCAAAATAAGCATCTGAGATTGCTAGCACATATATCTTCTAGCCAAGGGAGGCTCAAAACATTAAAATGCTTTCATAAAGACGAGTGTTCCTTTGTGAAACCCAAAGAAAACATTTCAGCTCCATCGTGGGGGTGGGAATATAAGCTCTACAAAATATTATAGCAGAAAGTTAGCTTTTAGCATAACTCCTTGCTCCAGTACTTTACCAGTACATTAGCCTCTTGTCCTCCAGGGAACTGGGCTTAAGAACTAGTCATGAAAATTCATGATAACTACACTACTCATCCAACCAGTATTAAATTCACATTTCAGGACTCCCGTGGCATATGAAGGTTGCATGGTAATAATGAAATGAAAATCTACACCCTTTGAGTTTTCATGGCAAAGGGAATGAAGACTTTTGAGCTCCCTTGTTCTGCTATTGCAGAAAATTGGACACTTGCATATATGGTGCAGTTTTACTACCTGAGAGCTAGTTTAAAACGGCATTCAAAGTAAAATTAAGAATAAATTTTATGGAGTGCTAATTTATTAGGAAAATATTTTAAAAATGACTACAGACTCAGGACACTAAGCAATAGCATATCCAGAAATTAAGGGGGAAAAGCCATTTGTGTGTGTGAAATCATAGTAACTTACGTGTAGTATATCATGTTTGATTATCACTTACCTAGATATTGTTCTGTGTACTGGGAAGCTACAATGTGTTGCAGCTTTAAAAAGTATTTACGCCAGTTGTACTTGCAGTGAAACACATATGGTTGCTCAAAATTACCTTCGTATTCAGATCACAACATATAGCACTAACTAAAATGCAAATGAAGTCCCTCTGAAATGTTAGGTTTTGAAAACACAGATGTGTTCCTCTAGCCCTTTTCCTTACCTTTCTCATCTCCTCCACAGATAAAATTTAGGCTGCAAGGTCTTCAGGGAAGGATCGTGTAATATATAAAGTGTTCTATAAAGAATTATGTGAAGAAATAAAATTACCAAAGGGGAAAAAAAATTAGGCAAACCTATGAAAAAGGAAGTGTCTCTTCCCTGAATAAAGAAATTGTTTATTTTTTGTAGGTTGTTTATTTTTTAGTGCTTAAAATATTGCTACTTTTGTTCCAACTTCCCCAAGCAGTGAGATCTGTCTCCCCTGTGTGGCAGATCACTGAACTGCAGCTGGCACCCAACTCCATGGGGAACCTTTCAGACTGGCTCTACCCACCCAGACTGATCACTGGATCCTTCTGGACAGGAAGGAGTATAGAGCTTCTTGTTCTAGCTAAGCCTTGCTTGAGCAACAAGGTCACCTACAGTGTTTCTATAGTTCTGATTGCTCTTTGGCCCAGCATCCTGGTTTGTCCTCTAGTCATGCCTTGCTCTATGGTCCTAACTCTTGGTTTGTTCCATTGCCTGTCTTGTTCATTGGTCCTCACCATTGACCTAATTCATAGTTCTTCACCCCGACTCACCTTGGGCTGCTTCCCACTGCACAAAAATGCTGGTGAATTTTCATGAGGATTTTTTTTTAATCAGCAAATTGCTGTGGAAATGTGGAAAACTGAATTTCAGAGTGGAAATGTGAGAAACTGAGATAACAATTACTGACAGATTTGTTCATCCCTATGTGGATGGCAACTTTGGGATTCAACTCTGTGTAAAAATGGCTTTTCTCACATTTTGTTTTATGAAAGAATAAATTCGGCCTGAACCTGAACTTTCATTTGTAGCATATATCTCAAATAGGATTTGTAATGTTTTGAGGTACTTATGGAGAAAGATAAGAGATACTTGTATACACTTTAACAGATTAAATTCTTTAGTTTGCTTCCAGACAATAAATACTTTAGAGCTAAGACCCCTCCAGTCATAAAAAGAGGAGGTATTGAGACAGGAGCTCATCACATGGTAATGTCACAGGCCACATAAACTAGTTATTTCATATTCTGGTGTTTTAGAGCTATGTATGTTATATATATATGTACACACACTTCATGTCTCTTGTCAGATACAGTTCTGATTGCTGTATTGCTTTCCTTTCAAACCAAATGGCTTAGTGACAGATCTGACAGATCATTAAGTTGAAAGTTACACAGTCTTTGATCTTTTATATACAGTTCTTATGTGTGTGATGTTGTATCACTTAAAGGAATAAACATTCACATTGATTCTTGAATTTCTGAACAGATATGAATGTGATTCATGAAGTACAGGTCCTGGTTAGAATGATATTTCATCATGTACCACCTAAGCGTGATGATCAGGAACACAATGAATATATGAAGACACACTTGGAGTTAAACATGGATACAGCTTCATTGATTACAGTGTATCATGTTTGACATAGGATCAGGCAAGGATATGCCTATCAGGCAGCCTGTCTGCTTGCCTATACCTCTCCCAGCTTTCCTGTTCAGAATCCAGGAGGGAGTCACTAGACACAGGTTGCACCTGACACCTGCCAGCAGCCTGGGTATGTGGCAGCCACTCCTGGCTCCCTGAACTGTGGTGAGTTCTTGAAGTGCCACCCTAAGACCCCTGTAAGCTAGTGACCTCCCCTGCCACAAGAAACAGGCAGCTTCACTGTTCAACTTACCACCTAACCCACTATGCCTGCAACCACCTCTGCAGGCAATTCTGGATATCAGTCAGCCAAATAACATTGTTCAACTGTAAGAGGTGAATGTCGTCTAGGCAAAAAACAGGAAAATGACTCAATTTCTATGATACATGATTGGGAGGTGGCTGGGGTGACCAAATTCAGTACTACCTGTATGATGGTCCCAAACACCGAAAGTGTTTCCAGAAATGGTTCCAGGATGCCCTAGGAAGATCGTCTTCTGAAAGCAAAACAAAACATTAGCTGTCATGTGGATACCTGAAGCTAGGCACCTCTACGAGAGGGGAAGCTGCAAGTCCATCAGACATATACAAAGGGATCAGACCTGCTGCCATAATGATTCTCCTTCCCTGTAGCCTCTAATACTGCTCCCATGATGGGAGTGAAAACTCAGTTTGTCCTTCAAAACAAATGTGGTACATGAGGATTTTGTTCTCACTTGTCCAAGAAATATCATATGACAGGCAGCTCTTAAAGTATCCAGAATTTTAGGTGTTGTTTTTTCTCTTGAGTTTTAACTGTTTTTGAAACTACCATGGTTAACTCGGTGGATAATCTGACAGAATTGTGGTGTTTTATATATAAACCTTTATCTGCTCTGTAAGTAATGTTTTGAAAATATTCAAGAGCCAAGCTGTGGTCAGGCATAGTTATATATTATTTTCATACATGCACAAAGCAATGGATATACATAAAAGGGTTAAACTATGCTCCTGGAAGGCACTGTAACCAAGTAGATATTTCTAGTTGCCCTTGATTGGATTTTAATCTTAATTTTGCCACAAATAATCTCTGACCTTGACCCTTAAATGGCTTTCATCCTCAGCTCCCTTATGAGTAAAATCAGATTTAGAACATGTATCAGTTGAGTATCTATAAAGTCTGTTAGCAGTACGAGTACCAAAGAAAACAGCTGGAGGTTGGAGTAAAATTTAGGATTACCAGCTATTATTTGATGTGCATAATCCAGGAGAGGCATATGTAGCACTAGCTAAGGTTTATTCAGAAGTACGTTCTATTGAGTTTTATGGGGATTAATTCATAGAATCATAGTAGAGTTGGAAGGAACCACAAGGATCATCTAGTCCAACCCCCTGCAATGCAGGAATCTTTTTGCCCAATTCAAACCCACCACCCTGAGATTAAGTGTCTCATGCTCTACCAACTGAACTATTCCAGGTAAGCATATAGGATTGTTGCCTGTTCTCTTATTTACTCGGCTCTTTACTCCTTTTGGCTAGAATTTCTGAAGTAAACATCCATGTGGAAAAATGGAGAAATCATAGCAAATTGCTTAGAACTTAGAAGTATATTAGAGCTGGAAAAAGTGTAACACCTGTTCATCGTCAATGGAGAAAAAATGCTGCTTTTAACCAAACCTTTTTGTTTACTTTCTTTTCTTTTCTTTTATGGCCATACAAATTCTGTTTGCTGATTTCCTACCTTCTCAGACATTTCAATTTTTCAACTTATTTTCAACTCTAGACCAGAGCTGATTTAAGGTTGTAATGGAACATATTTAAATAAATGAGAACCATGCCCATAAACATTTCCCCCTCTGGGACAGTGGCAGTCCTACAGAAGAAATATTCATAGAAAGAAAAGATAGATGTTGCTTTAATAACAGTTGTCTAAGGAATCTCATTCTTTGTAGAAATTCTATACTAAACTAATCAATAATTCAATCCTGTTTAACACAAAATTGAATTATAGCGATACTTGAAATTGTTTTAGTGCATATGCCATGGGCACAATCTCTTGTCACAAGTTAGAAGCACCTTTGAATGCACCTGTGTATAGGATATTTTTATGAGACACACTGGAACTTTCAAATCCCTGAAAACACCATGAAAACCTGCCATCTTCCTCTTGTTTTAAACAGCAACATGAGATAAGGGATCAGCAATGAATAAAATTTTATCAAGATAAAGGCTATAAGCATAATAAAGTGACAAGTCAGAAGTCCATGGTGCATGATATGTGTTTTTTCCAAGGAGAGCATTCAACCTCCCATTAGGCAGACCAGCTGAGTCATTTTATTCATTGATGATTTGAAAGGCTGCATTCAGGCTGTGTAATGTGGGCACAATGGAGGCTTGAGATGGGCAGAGTTTTAGGAGACCCCTGTTACTCTCACGGGACGCGGGTGGCGCTGTGGGTTAAACCACAGAGCCTAGGACTTGCCGATCAGAAGGTTGGCAGTTCGAATCCCCGCGACGGGATGAGCTCCCGTTGCTCGGTCCCTGCTCCTGCCAACCGAGCAGTTTGAAAGCACGTCAAAGTGCAAGTAGATAAATAGGTACCGCTTCGGCGGGAAGGTAAACAGCGTTTCCGTGTGCTGCTCTGGTTCGCCAGAAGCAGCTTAGTCATGCTGGCCACATGACCCGGAAGCTGTACGCCGGCTCCCTCAGCCAATAAAGTGAGATGAGCGCCGCAACCCCAGAGTTAGTCACAACTGGACCTAATGGACCCTTTACCTTTACCTATTACCCTCACAGACCTTCAGTTCCCAGAGTTCCATTGGAATAGGGATGGACTGTAGCTCAGTAACTCATCCTTAGTCTCTGCATGAAATCTTGAGAGTGATAAACCTGGGGACACAGTCGCATAAATACAACTGTTTTGTCTTGTGTTAAAATGACCACAATTTCTTTACAACTCTGTTTAAGTTACTGAACATATCCAAACTTTCTGCAAAATATATCCCGACTGGGTTACAGAAAACATATTGTGATTTTCCTTTTCTCATTTTCCAGTTAGAATGTTCCAAGAAACTATAACGACTTATACCTCTGTTAATGATGCAGATATTTCTGCTGTTAAGAGTCTTCTGGGCATCCCTCTTGCCCAGCTGTGTCTTGCGAGAAAGAAGAACATTAATGAGTTTCAATCGGCTTATGATAGGAAATGATAGAACACTTTGAATATAATTTTGGATATTATCACCACTGACATCAATTCTAGACCATGAGTAACCTTAATGCCCTCTTGAAATTGAGAATAAATCATAATCCTTCAGCAGATATACACACATAAGGATTTAATTCTTACAAGTGAAATATTAAGTTGACAGCCACTTTGCAACTGTCTATCCTTTTTAAAGCATTTTCTATGTCAGTATATTATGCTCTGCTGTTTTTACTAGTTTAAGAATATAATTTTTGAACTAATTCAAGTAATTTTATGGATAACAGACCTGTTTTATTTAATAGTAAATATGTATGTTATGCTTATTACATAATCAGAATGCGTTTGGAATATTCCTGTAAAGGAAGGGTATACATTTCTTTTTTTCTGGCTTAACTGTTGCATCAAAATTATGTCAATTCACAAAATGCATACCTCAGTCATTCTTGGTTACTTACTGAGGTCATCTTCTTTAAATGCAACTGTAAACTGATGAATAAGGCCTGGTTTGCACATACCACTAAGCCAAACTATGGCTTAGCAAGAATAAAAAAACATATGGGCACCCAGTGAAAACTGTGGTATCTTTACACCTCCCACAGTCCTGCTGCCATAATGCAAAAATAAAAATAAAAAAACACACAATTTTTCAGAAAACATGTTGTTCAAAGAACTTTTGAAAACAGTCCATAAATGTCATCCAAATAAGAACAACAAGAGCATCTATGAGTCTGTTTCATTTCAGTCCCACATTGTCAGTTCTTTGAGCATGCATACAAACATTGCAAACAGCTTTTTTCCCTTTGTATCTCAAACTGTTCAAATCAAGGACAAAACAGAGATGGCATTAATTGTATTAATGCAATACCTTCCCCAAATCCTAGAAAAAGTGTGGGGAATGGGACACCCGCCTAGCCAGCCAGATCAGCCGAATCAACCCTGGCGATCAATGGGGTGACAGATGTCGCAGCCAGATCGCCCTCACATCAGATCGCCTTTCAGTACGCGACAGTGGCCGCCAGAACTCTAATAGCGCAGAATTGGAAGACACCAAGAATCCCAACCATAAATGAATGGCAATCGAAACTACTCGACTATCTAGAATTGGCAAAAATGACACAGAAAATAAGAAATCAAAAAGACACAAAGTTTAATAAAGATTGGAATAAATTCATGGCATACATGGAAACAGAGGTAAAAAACTAAAAAAACACAGTAGGTGCGATATAACTCTTGTGATGTAAAGAATTTTTTTGAGGAAAAGAAACTGCAGATAGAAAATTTTATAACACATTCCGAAACCGAGATGAAGGGAAGTCAGTCAGTGTTGTGTGTTAAGTAGTTAATGTAGTTAATTTGTTGTTGTCTTATGTCAGGAGTATGTATATGTATGTATATGTGTTTTTTTTGGTGTGAATGTGTTGTGTTTGTCTTTTTTGTTTGTATGGTATTATAAAATAAAATTTATATTAAAAAAAAAAAAAAAGTGTGGGGAATAGCATTGTATCTTGCCTAAAAGAGGTGGATTCTAGTGTGCTGATTCTTCTGTTTATATTCCATTTTTTGAATTAGGTCATAGAATAGTAGAATGGTAGGGATGCCAAGGGTCATCTAGTTCAACCCCCTGCAATGCAGGAATCTTAATTAAAACATCCATGACTGATAACCATCTAACCTCTGCTTAAAAACCTCCAAGGAAGGAGAGTTGAACAGCTCTTGCTGTCAAAAAGTTATTCCTGATGTTTAGCCAGAATCTCTTTTCTTTTAACTTGAAACCATTGGTTCAGGTCCTAGCCTCTGGAGCAGGAGAAAACAAACTTGCTTAATCTTCCATGGGACAACCCTTTAGATATTTCAAGATGGCTATCATATCTCCTCTCAGCCTCCTCTTTTCCAGGCTAAACATACCCAACCCCCTCAACCATTCCTTATAAGGTTTGGTTTCTACTTCACTTGATCTGGACACTATACTTTTGTTGATGCAGTCTAGAATAGCATTAGCTGCTGAATAATGTTAAACTTGTAGTTGACTAAGACCCTAGATATTTTTCACAATATTCTTAGTTTGGACACAGCACAAGTTACCGGTATATAATGTAACCACAATTCAATTCTATTATAATGCATATTGTAATCAATCTTTACAACATACTGATTTTTTTGGTATGTTGTTTTTAGCTATGGGTATCATGTATTAAGTCTTTCCTACCTTATAGGAAAGAGGTCAGCATTTACAAGTACAATTGTGGATCATTTAATTTTGTGAACACTGAATACTGTGATGGCTTTTCTAAATATCCTTCAAATCAGACAGAAACAGTACTCAGTGGTGGTGGTGATGATGATGATGACGACAAGCCATTTATTGGGCACTGACCGGAAATGGGAGTAAGCATATTTGCAACAATTTATTTCTATTGTGAATTTTTACATAAAGAAGAACCAAATATTTGGTCCATTAATGAATTTCAGAAAACTAATCTTAAGGGTATTTTACATTGCCATAGTTAAGTAGTATCAGTAGCAACAAAATCCCATGTAGCGATCAGCCATGACACACAGATATTAATTCTTCTACAAGATGCCCTTTCTCTTAATTTTCACTTCTACAGCAAGTAATTACTTTTCTTGAAAACTATTAAATTGCACTCTCAGTGGCATATGACTTCAGCATTTTATGGATTCTCTAATGGCATCACTATCTTTATCTGCTACGTGTGTCTGTTGCCACCAACACCATGCCTTATTGAAACAGATGGGTGGCATATTGCTAATAAAAGTGTCCAAGCCCTTAGAAAACATCTCTGTAACATAGGTTGTTTTTTTTTCACATTGTCAGGCTCAATGAATGTCAGCCATCTCTCTGCATATTGGTGTCTATCTTTCCCCAGGATGGGTTAATAGAGGTTAGGAATCGGATGCATAACTCAGATCTAATTTTATATAGGTCAATAGGAACCTGGCAGAAATGAAGACTTTTTATCGGAGTACTGGTTACAGGGCCCCTGATGGGTTGATGCATTAGTGCTTCACCAGTGGACATCTACATTCAAATCCTAATTAGATCAAAAGTGAAAGACTGTGTTAGTCTGACTTTAGTACCTAATTTGCAATGAGTGGCAGTTTAATTAAAAGGAAGGTAGTGTTGGAATGGCAGAGGTATTGCAGGTCAGAATGCCTTGGCATTCTTTGGCTTGAACAACGTTATTTCACTCTGAAAGGAATCCCCATTTGCAACATTATAGGTAAGAGGTCAGCATTTACAATTCTGGATTATTTAAACTATGCCTCTTTTTTATTTAAAATGCATACACTACACAGATGATAGAAAAAAGAACAAGGAGAAAAAAACAAAAAACAAAACCATGATCTGGAGAAATGAAGTCTCTCAGGTAAACCTTTCTGACACCTGCCTCCAAACCCTAACCTCCAAAAAGTCAATAAGAGGTTCTGAATCAGAAATGCAAAAAGATATCCCCCCTCCCGACTTTATAGTAGGTATCTGATATGGCTTCTCTCTTTCCTACTGAATAAACAAATCCTATGCAAAAAATAAAAATAAAAAAACTAGAAAATATACTTGCATGGTTATCTGCACTAAATTAAAATTCCTTATCCAGGCAAAGCCATCCTTGCTTTGGATATAGACAAATATGTCAATGGACCGATCACATGCTCTTAAGGAACAATGCAGACTGATGAGGCTAAGATTGACACCATCAGCAGTAATTTAAAGGTTTTTGGAATGAGCAATAGGCAAGAATAAGGAGGCTCATCATTTTAAACTGCATTCAAATGTATGGACATAGGGTATGTGGCATATTTAGTAATGTCCATCAGTAGAGGAGTATGGTATATTCTGCATATTCAGGGCAAATGAGCACAGAGCTGTTTCTGAAGTATTACAACCTTTCAGTAATATTACTTTAGGATCTAGTACCTCTTTAAAATACTAGAGGGTTGCAGTCAAAGCAACCCTGTGGCAAGTTTGATCTAACATGAACTTCACGCATCTTTTACCATCAAGAGAGCACTGCCACACCAACTTTAAGTATTCTAATAATCTTCTCCACAACCCTTCCTTTCTCTTACATTTCTACAACTCATAGAATCTCAGAATTTGTGGTGAAATATTTCTGATACTAATTAAAACAGCAGACTGAAATCTCTCTCTATATATAAATCACTCATATAAATGGCTATAGGTGCAGCCATTCATTTCACATTACCAAATTAAGCTCCTAGTAGGATCAAATTTTACATTCAACAGTTCATATTTACAAGGCTATTTTATCTTATTGACCTTTGCTAACAACTAATGAAACATCTACTTTGGGCGATAATGATTTATTCCTCATAAAAAATGCTATTTCATTTCCTGAAGCTCTAAATATGTCCTTCTCCTTCAACTCCAGCAATTCCCAACTTGCTATCAGTACTTCAAAAAGCCAATTGGTCTGGCAAAAGAAGAATGCTCTTTGAATCTATTGAGATGCTGCTGAAACTGATCAGAGACATGCTGGGATACTGTCATTTTATCCCGCTGTGCTTTTAGAAGTCTGAATCCCCAAGAGTAGCCAATCATCTCCTTGAATTTCTCTCCTGAGTACTTCAGTATAAAATAAAATTTTTAAAAGCATGTGCTATCTGCGGAGGTCCGTCACTGCTCTATGAATCCTAAAACTATTGACACTTTTCTTTTCCATGAAAGTTCATGCCACAATAACAATATCCAGTGTCTTCAGCTGAGAAAGCAGGGAGAGTGTGCATCGGAAGTATATGAGAGGAAGGGCACCTGATTGCATGAGGAAGGTGGCGTACCAAACTGCAGCTCCCTATTATGCCCTATAAAGCACCATTGCAGAAGATTGCCTGTATGTGATCAATCCAAAGAAGAAAGAAGCATCCTTTGGTGGAAAGGAAGGATGCAATTTTAACAAATAATAAAGAACTCACAAAAAATACAGAGCAGAGAAATGTATCTAAGTAAAAGCAGCCAGAGGAAACTATCTCACCAAACACACACACACACACACACACACACACACTCTTTCTCTCTAACTATATAAAAACTATATATAGGCAATCTTGCCTCCTCTATGCAAATTCTGAGTATAGCCCAAATTGATATTGCTCAGCAGCATTGACACGGACCTTTATTTCATTCCCCCCCCCCCATGTTTCCCAAACTTAATTTTCACATTATATTTGAACTTTCACATTATGTAAAAGTCACTTCCAGAAAACTAATGGAAAGAAGCAAATATCTAGAACTTATTTCCATGTTATTTGATCCGGGGGGGGCGGCGGTATTTTTAGTCCTATTCACCTGGAAAATCGTGGGAGTAAAGTGACAAAATTTGAGGTGGTATACGAGAATATAGTTCTTTCCAGGTGTTTTCATGGGGGAATGTATGTGCAGAAAGGCTAGGAGAGTAGCAACATTGTTGAAGGATGTTCACTGCTGTAAATGAAATTTAGTATGACATTCTGGTGTATCGGTGAAAAAGCCATAGCTCCCTAATACAATATATTCTGCTGTGTGAAGGGAACATTAGAAAACAGGACAGAAGCACTAGCATTATAATTAGGAAAACTAATATAATATATACCCTTCATTGGAATGTGCCCTCAGGTGGAATTTTCAAGCATGCAAAGAGGGAGCAGGTCATACAAAGGCTATTGGTTTACTGCTTGCTGGTGCCAGAACACCTTTCCTTGCTGCTGTCCATAGGGAACAGATGCAATTGGGGTTTTTGTTTTTCCTATGTAAAAATCACAGGTTGCTGCAATATCTGTTTTCACCCTTTCAGTTTTGTGATGGTGCTTCAATTGCCCTCAGCAGTGAGGCAGTTCAAGTGACAGTTATGAATGGACTCACTCACTTGAAGGCATCTGGAACAATATTATTACAAATAATATATATTTTTTAAAAAAACATAGTTATTCAAAGGTATCATTTTTACAGGAAATGAGGTAATGGGTTT